GTAACCGAGGTATATATCCAGAAAATTATTTTACAGAAAATTACTGAATCATTACCTATGAAACGTCAGGGACGTTGCTGAATAAGTATACTGGAGAGGAACAGCATCATCACGCCGCAGCATGTTATTGTTTTAGACAGGTCTGAGCATCCTGTACTCCAAAAACTGCAGTGATATTAGACAATTGTGTGTGTAGGATTAATTACCTGTCCAAGAGAAAACTGGCAACTTGAGCGTCACTTTGAAAACCTTTTTCCTCCATCAGTGACTTCCATCGTGTAAATGCCGTGCCAATGTTGATCCGTGTTTTTTGCCGTTTCTTGTCACGCTTGCGTTTATTCTCGTCGTGTTTCCGCTTCTTAGATGACGGGGGTTCGGTGTCCGCCGCTTTTCGTTGTGATACAGAGTAGGCATGATCCTCCATTCGTCTGATGTTTGGCCACACAGTGCCAAACAGTTTGCAAAGTCACTCACGCCTGCCGCCTTGTTCACCTTTCTTGTTACTGAGGCGCAGTATACCTGCTTCTTCTTCTTCTTCTTTGGTTTCAGGCAGACTAAACGCTTCTCAGGCATAATACTGCCATCTACTGTTTAGTACCGTCTCAGTTCATCTCTCTCAACTTGCCGTAGTTATTTTTGAGCGTCATGGGAGATCTCGCAATCGCTAGTTTGTTGCCTCTGCGCTTGCCGTAGCGCAAAGATGTCAGCCTCCATGGCTGCGAGACCCGCTCCTATGTAATTATAAATAACGAATTCTAAGGCAACGCAAATATTATGGTTAAAAGGCTGAGCTCATAGGTGATGATAAATAACATAGTTATGTATAATATATTAAATTTCTGACTTTATATCCCTGTAATTATTACACACTGTAGCTTTAAGTGTAAGTTACTCATAAGTCATGGTGTCTAGCTTATCCAAAACCTATGTGTAACGTGTGCATAACTTATGCGTAGCTTAGCAAGAACTTCTCTCCAACGCATATCAACGTATTTGACGTGTTCCAGACGACTGTTAAACGTTTCTAACATACAGCTACTGTATAATGACGTATTGGTAGCGTTTAGGTATAAAACGGGCTTCACAGAAGGAAATTGTCAGTACTCCTCCAGACTGCATCCCCATCATAGGGTGAGAAAGAAAGTGAGAGTGATGGATCCTCCCTGCAATCACACCTGCGGCCACGACCAACAAACTTCCTAGCAGACATGAAGCTGAATCTGCTGTGACTGCAAACCTTCTTTTTCTTTATTTATTCTTCTATTTTGGCGGGCAGTAAACAGCAGCTGGGATAATAACACGATCAAAGACATCTTTTTATGCAGGGCGGGGTCCTCCAGGCGCATTGCTGCCCCCCTCAGGACACTGGTTTGTGATATTTCATGGGCATTACGCTGCCGTGCGTTATGCTTAACTTAGGCTGTCGTTGGACATGCGCTCTGGACTCATGAATACTTTATTTATACGCCCAAACTTGAAAAAATTAATAGAAAGTTCTGTGTATGCCAGCGTTTTAGAAGATTCTGGGACGTCAGGCATATGCTGGCTAAATGGGCAAGGTGTGACAGGGGCTTTAGTAATAAGGAGCTGAAGTTTACCATAGAACCACCAGCAGCTGCCAGAACAGTTTAAACCTGAGAGGAATGGATTCATGCTTTCATGTTTATGCCTAATTCTGAATCGGCAGTCTAAATGTCGCCACTAAAAGCACAAATCATCAGATTTCCTCTTTTATAGACCATTCTCTCTAAACCAGCGATCCTTTTTGGATGAAAATCTTTGCAATCACAAAAATCTGATTTCATAAAATGGTTACAAAAAAATGCCCTCCTGTCTTTTAAAGGAAGTTTTTATGACATTTGTAACCTGAGAAAAGAAAAATGGTAACAAGCTTTAATTCAAGATACTCTTAGTATCAGAGTTTCTGCTTCCTGAAGCAGAACTAGAAGCTGGGTCCACTATGATCCACCTCTCAGTATATTTCATAAACTTTACGGATCAGAACTAATCATGCAGTTTAGGAACAAAGTGCTCTGCCACAGCTCTCTCCCGCCGAGAACCACATGCAGAGCGCTCGCTCTGTTGTGGATGGAGTCTCCGAAAACAGAATCAAACTCTTTTAAACCTTTAGTCGTCTCACTTTGTTGTTCTCAGACAAAAAGCTCCTGGGGCGAGTACAGCGTAGATATTGTCAGCATGGAGGTGAATGCATATTAAAGCATGGAGGCTGTTCTGAATGTTCTGTGCAGCAGTTTCTGATAATGAACCAGGTCAGGAATAAGTTTAGGAAAACCACAAAACATCTTTTCCCTCATTCATGTCTTTTGTTTCCAGCTGCAGGACATGTGCTAATATGTAGTCTGTTTCTGCAGGATCAGTTGTTTTGTTTCTTAATGAAGCCTTTTTCATTTTAAAGTTCTGAGAACTGAGGAAGTCCTAAAACGTACACTGTATTCATGGATACAGTTAGCCATCTTGCTTTTGCACCTTTTTTTTAACACTTTTTCCTTCCACACATCTTTCCAATCATACAGGTGCTGGTCATAAAATTAGAATATCATGAAAAAGTAGATTGATTTCAGTAATTCCATTTAAAAAGTGAAACTTGTATATTATATTCATACATTACATACAAACTCATATATTTCAGATGTTTATTTTGTTTAATTTTGATGATTACAAATGACAACAAATGAAAATCTCAAATTCATCATATCAGAAAATTAGAATATTACTGAAGACCAATAAAAACAAAGGATTTATAGAAATGTTGGCCAACTGAAAAGTATGAACATGAAAAGTATGAGCATGTACAGCACTCAGTATTTAGTTGGGCCTCCTTTGGCCTGTATTACTGCAGCAATGCGGCGTGGCATGGAGTCGATCAGTCTGTGGCACTGCTCAGGTGTTATGATAGCCCAGGTTGCTCTAATAGTGGCTTTTAGCTCTTCTGAATTGTTGGGTCTGGTGTATTGCATCTTCTTCTTCACAATACCCCATAGATTTTCTATGGGGTTAAGGTCAGGAGAGTTTGCTGGCCAATTAAGAACAGGGATACCATGGTCCTTCAACCAGGTACTGGTAGCTTTGGCACTGTGTGCAGGTGCCAAGTCCTGTTGGAAAATGAAATCTGCATCTCCAAAAAGTTGGTCAGCTGCAGGAAGCATGAAGTGCTCTAAAACTTCCTGGTATGTGGCTGCGTTGACCCTGGACCTCAGAAAACACAATGGACCAACACCAGCAGATGACATGGCACCCCAAACCATCACTGACTGTGGAAACTTTACACTGGACTTCAAGCAACGTGGATGAAGTGCCTCTCTTCTTTTCCTCCAGACTCTGGGACCTTGATTTCCAAAGGAAATGCAAAATTTACTTTCATCAGAGAACATGACTTTGGACCACTCACCAGCAGTCCAGTCCTGTTTCTCTTTAGCCCAGGCAAGACGCTTCTGACGCTGTCTGTGGTTCAAGAGTGGCTTGACACAAGGAATGCGACAGCAGAAACCCATGTCTTTCATACGTCTGTGTGTGGTGGTTCTTGAAGCACTCACTCCAGCTGCAGTCCACTCTTTGTGAATCTCCCCCACATTTTTGAATGGGTTTTGTTTCACAATCCTCTCCAGGGTGCGGTTATCTCTCTTGCTTGTACACCTTTTTCGACCACATCTTTTCCTTCCCTTCGCCTCTCTATTAATGTGCTTGGACACTGAGCTCTGTGAACAGCCAGCCTCTTTAGCGATGACCTTTTGTGTCTTGCCCTCCTTGTGCAAGGTGTCGATGGTCGTCTTTTGGACAACTGTCAAGTCAGCAGTCTTCCCCATGATTGTGTAGCCTATAGAACTAGACTGAAAGACCATTTAAAGGCTTTTGCAGGTGGTTTGAGTTAATTAGCTGATTAGAGTGTGGCACCAGGGGCCATCAATTTTGAACCTTTTCACAATATTCTAATTTTCTGATATGATGAATTTGAGATTTTCATTTGTTGTCATTTGTAATCATCAAAATTAAACAAAATAAACATCTGAAATATATGAGTTTGTATGTAATGTATGAATATAATATACAAGTTACTGAAATCAATCTACTTTTTCATGATATTCTAATTTTATGACCAGCACCTGTATGTAAGAAGAGCCAGCTCTTTTCCAGTTATCACATATTGTGGCGTACCCTCCTGACAGACATTTTTAAGAAAGTCTTCTGCCACCATATCTCAGCTTCTCTTTTTCATTGGCTGTCAGCGGCACGCGTTTGTTGGCAGTTCACTACCTGCTGACGTCCAGATCCGCCTCTGAAAATTCAAATTTTTTTTGACTGACTGGTGTCGGGTCGCTTCCCCTCCCAGACTTTCAAAGTCCAAGTTCATCCCTTCCCACATTAACCTATGCCTATTCTCCCTACAGATCCTCCACAATTACCTCAGACTTTCCCCGACTGGAAATCTGAGGCTTAAATCAGTTCCCCCAGTTCCCCCAGTTTTACGATCAAAACCAGAATCAGGGTTTGTGAGATATAAAGAAGTGGTTTAGATCCAGAAATGCCAAATTTAAAACATCTTTAACAACTTAGCGGTTGAGGTTGCATGAGGCTGAGGAGGAGCCGTCATGGACTGGAGATGATTGGCCGATTCCTAAATCTGCATTCTTGAGGAGATAATGCAGAAACTATTGAGTTAGAACCTGAATAATGAAGAGTCTTGTTCTCTGTGAATGAAGTTAATGACTCAAGAACAGCATGATGAGGTGCTACAAACTACATACTTCATCATTCATTTTGTTCTCTACTTGGTCTGAAAAAATTTGTAATTTATTACAGCAGTGCATTAAAGCTTTTAAATATGACTTACAGAACCAGAATATCCTCTCTCTATATTAAATTATTAACATTTAATAAAACAGGAGGAGGGATTCTGTTAGGTTCCATCACTGGTTGTTTGGACATCACCAGGTCCTTCACCTGTGATCACCCTGATCTTTTTCATTCTCTCCTCTCATCAGGACCTTTCATCGAGCGGGCCATCATGACCAGTCAGACCAGTGAAGCGATCTGGTTCAGAACTGAAGATATTCTACCAGAAGTGGCTCCAGCAAAGGAGGAATGAGCTTTCCTTCAGCCTGTATCTAAGCACTGTACCGAATAAAGTTTTTTTTCTGGTATGCCTGAGAGTTTTCGTCTTCTTTGAAAGAAATCCCAGCAGAATGAAGAAAAAAAATCCCAGTACAGGAGAGGGGATGTCATTTCTTACTGAGGTGTGGAAACACTTATCTGCAAGTTTATTTCTGTTTCCTTTAAAAAGAAAACAGTATGAAAAGTTATATATTCTGCTCCTTAAAACAATAGTTTCCGTTTACTTCACTTCTTTCTATTTAAAGGTACTTTTTATTCAAACTTGGTGCAGTTTATTCAGAGGATTTCTGCAAATCGGGCTTCATCAGCTTCACCAAACGTATGGATCCTTTTCTAACATTTAAAGATTGTTTTGTATATATATATATTTTTTAGCTTATAATTGGACCAATAAACACACTTTCTCTCATACTGCTATTTTCAGCATCCTGAAACAGTTTAGACCACAGATGTATTGTTTGCTGGTAGTCATCTCAGTATGAACAAGTTCTCCAAGTGGAGTGTACACATGTAAGAGAACCTGAACCCAGAACCTTAAGGTTATCAAAGATATAAACAGTTTGATACTAGGTTATATTTTTCTTTATTTACAGTCAAGAACCTGTAAATATTGAAGTATGCCTGGTCCTTTGACAGTCTGCTTGTGACCTCCCTAAGGGTTTATTAACTGTAGGGTTTCCTAGAAAGAATCCAGTATAATGAATGTTTTCTCATATTAAATAATAAAGTATGCTTCATATTCACATTAAAATAATGGCATTGATAATAACCTACTTTCCATATTCATATATAACCATTCTATTGTACCTCTTTTGAATTATTTCATTTAGTTCCATCCCAGAGTTTCACTGTCAACATTGAAGTAGATACACATATTTATACATATTTATCTCCCATATATTTATATTTTAACATACACACTCCTATATTTATTTCATTTACACAAAGATATTCACTATAAATTGTTTTATTATAGTTACGGTAATACTTTTATTGTTATGATTACTTTAATTCTGATTATTAGTATTATTACACTAATATTATCACTACTACGTGTTTATGCCATATTTTATTCACTTTTAACTGTTATTTTTAAAGTTTTCTTCATTTCATTGTTTTCTTTCTCTTTGTTTATTGAGTTTATTTAGAGTTCTGTATGAGTGTTTGTGTGTCTGCAGGTGCTGTGTTGTTTTTAGAAAAATGTTTTCCCAGAGGTACCGATGACAGGGAGAAATAGTACTGGAAGACTTCCCAGTGGTTCTGATTTCCAGGTTTTTAACATCCTGCCCCCATTATTTGTGGACGCAATACTTGAGTTTTTTTTTTTTTTTTTTTTTTTTTTGGCAGGGCATTCTTGGAACATGATATGCCAGGGTTCTTTTTTATTTTTTATTTTTTTTCTTACATTAATAGCAAGAGCACTTTGTGGAAAAACATTGTCAGCAAATTTTTCAATGAATACCGTATATCATAAATTAAATATTGGTGTGAACCGGGTAAATTATTCTAGATAAGTATGTAAATGTCCTGATTTATTTCCAGCATAATTCCCAGTTTTCCATAATTTTCTCCAATTGAACTGGGTGTAATGTCCCCTTATGGACACTAGGAGGCGGTGTTTACGTAATGTGGGGCTGTGTTTCTGCAGCCTGTTGAACCTCAGGATAACATTGAAGCTTGAGAAAGTTGAATGAAATGTTTCCTCCCTGCTTCTATGGGGGCATTCTGGTCCACTTTTACAGGAACTTGTTTAATTCAGAGTGAATCTGTAAATCTGCAAACATGTTTGCTGCAACATTTATTCGAGGTCAGAAATGAAGCAACACCTTAAAAAAAATAAGAATGTTATTGATAAATTCACAGTAGATTTAAATCTATGCATTAACTCCAACTGTTGTACATTATAGCTTCTCAAGCAGCTTATCACATCCAGACAGTGAAAAAAAAAAAAAACTTTCAGATCATGTTCAGCAAAGTAAACAATGACCTTTTTTTCCCCAAAGCACCCACAAAGAGCCATGCAGATATCTCCAAACTGCACAGCCGGATCCAGAATCCATCCTCAGGTTGACATTTACTGTAAAACGAAGATAAGTTAGATGTTTTTTATTGTTCCCTGGAGAGAAATAAGGCTGTGGCAGCAATAGAAGCTGAGGAATAGTAAAACTGATGAAAAGAGCTCTAATGAGGTCCTGTCTGACAAACTGATCGTCCCTGATGCTTTAAGTTCTGCTCTTTTGACCTTTGGATACATGTTAACCGTGAAACTGTTCAGTAGCTGTTTGAATTATGTCACCTGATATATATATATTTTTAACCTGAAATAAAGAATTCAAATGAATATTTTTTTGATTTTACAAAATGTTTGACCTTTGCTTCTTTCACCCTATGTCACAGAACACATTCAGTTCAAGGGATATTTTGTCTTCTACATGTTATGAAGAAAAAAACTGTTATATTTTTATTAAAGGATCATTAGGGCAAACAGTTCAGATCCAACTTTACTAAAGCTGCACTTTTTCTTTCCTTTTTTATGGAAGAAGAGAAAGAAACCATTAAAAATAGTAATACATTTACTAAATAGAGAAAAATAATAGAAGCATTACTTTTGACATCCAAACTCCAAATATTTAAAAGGGGTCCGCATCTATGACCATCTGAAGGTGTCCGCTACTCTCTGCCCCACCTCATCCTGTTTCTGACGGTAATCTTCATCTGCTGGGGTGGTTTTTATTTATGTTTTTGACGCAATGCATTATTTTAGAATATAAAGATAGACAAAAGTCTAAGTAAAAACTCCTAAGCTTTAAGCCTGGTTCTCTTGGGGTTTTCAATCAACCCTGAACCAGAAGAATGAGTACTGAAAGTTACAATGGAAGCTGCTACTACACTATTTCATAGCTGGGATTAGTTGAATTGGCTTCACTTGATTGGAAATATGTTGGCATGATTTTATTAACTCACTTTTTTTCATTGTAAAGCAGGTTGAGACAACATGTATCTTGAGACAATGCTGCATGAATAGACTGAACTGATTCAAGTCCCTGTTAATAAAGATTGCTTTGAAAGATTTTGAAAGATCTGAATGACTGAAAGGAAATCGTAGGGAAATGAGGCCTTAAAACTTTTGCACATTCATCTGCACAGGTGCACAATCCACATCCAAAAGCCTACTTCTCTGTCATTCTTTGTTGTTAGCAGATTCTATTATATTCAACCTGTTTTGTAGTAAAGAACCTTACAAACAGAACTTTAAAGATAAATTTTGAAGATAAGCATGATCTTCCTCCTCGTTATGGGCGGTTCTAGACAGGGGCCAACAGGGGCCATTGCCCCAGTAGATCATGTCATGGCCTCTGTACTAAAGACATAATACTCAAAGAAATTCTAATGATGATATGCTCTGGAACACACATGTTTACTGATAGGTCTTTTGGATCTATTTCATTTTTTTTCCTTCAAATTCTGTGTTACTATTTAAAAAAATAAGGTGATAGCTTCAGCGGTATTGAGATAGGATCCCAGTTTTCATCTGTTAAAGATTTTTTTTCAAAACAACAACAACAAAAAAAAGCTCTATTTTTTACAGCTGAATTCATCAGTTTTTCTTGAGTTATAATTCAAATTTTATAGAAAATGGTAATTTTAACTTAAAGTAAAAAATAAGTACAATTCCTTAATAATGAATGTATATTGACCTAATAAGACACATTTTAATTAAACCTAATTGAATAGGAATTTCACGTCATGCAACAATCTTAATATATTTGAATCCCTTGCCCTGTTTTTATTTCATGCTTTTCTTTGCCCTCATGAAAACACGCTGGCCCCCTCCTCGCCCCCCTGGTACATTTGGTCTAGAACCGCCACTGCTCCTCGTGGCCTCCAGCCTCTGACATCCAGGAGGAGCTTAGAAAAGAGCTGCTGCACATCTGCATCAAAAAGTGGGGTTTATAAATGTCAGTTAAGCCATAACCTGAGGTCTATCAAATCATCTCGTTATTGCTGACCTCTGGCAATAGAGTCAGTGCAACTCTGGAGATAACAAATAAATTCTGACAGGTTCTCAGCTTACATTTTGAAGGTCAGGGTTCAGTTTGTCTCCTGGCTTCCACCACATCCGAGCTGTGGGTTATAATTGGTCCATGTGTGTAGAAAGCAGCAGCATTAGCAGTGAAAATAAAACCCCAACTCCTTTTAAAAGCTAAAACATCCTCTGATCTGCACGGTTTGCAGAGGACAAAGGAACCAGGAGGGATCTGGTTTCTACCATGTGACACTGAGGAATCTCAGACCTGTGATCCTGATTAAACATTACACCCTAAGAACACAGGCCATAGGTATGCTAAAGCAGGTTTATACACACATCTGCTGCATTTTATCCTATAAGGTAAAAGGAAATAAAGAATAAGCCTGACTGGTCTGAAGGAAACTGAGGTGAATTGTTGTAGGTCAGTTATGGCTTAAGAAATGGAGCAAATTACACTAATGAGAGCATATTTTATCAAAACCACCTACATTTACATATAAACGCTTGATATTGATGAGATAAAACAAATATCCCCATTATTCAATACATTCAAAAGTAGCTTTTTTCTGTCTTTAAAGCTATAAATGTTAGTTAGAGAAAGGATATTTTGTCTGTGTGGCCATGATTATTCTTGGAAGATCCTGTTTTTTTCCCAAATCTCCCTAATGCTAGTTAGCACATTTAGCACAAAGCTATGAACCACAGCTATAACTCAGCTTTTCGCTGTTCTTCACCAACTTTTCAGACTTGTAAAACCATACAAGTTATAATCTATATGATATTTAAAACAAATTTGTTTAGGAGGATCTCTTGCTGGCTTTGAAACATGCTAGCTTGGCAGCCATATTGGATTTTACAGTTAAAGTCCCAACTTTAGGGACATTCCTGGTAATAAAAGTTATCAACCTGTCTAATTTTCTGATTTGTTAATGTTGTCTTTTAAACAGCTTATTTAAACAGAGCTACCCAAGATATTTCTGTTTTTTCCCCCTTCCTCTTCTCCATGTTGAGCAGCTATGGCTTGGTGCCTATCTAAAATGCTGCATATATTTATAAACTACATATTTATATAAATATATAATATATATTTATAACTAGCTATACTTTTCTATTATATGTCCAAACAGTTGTGTATTTCAAGTTGAAATGGTTCTCTGCTTTCTTCTTCTGCACACCTGATATCAACTGATAGTTGATTGCAGGGTTTTTCTAAATTACAGTCACTTGAATCAGCTGTGCAGAAGCAGGAAAACATCCGACCCACTCAGGGGACGATGCAGGCGGAAAACCACAGGTCTAAGACATAATGTACCATTATACATTTTTTAAATGTCATTGTATATTTCATTGTTTACAAGAGACTTTACATGTTAGGAAAAATAAAACAAAACTCAAAGTTCTATCTGAGCCATCCAACTCTTAAAACTATTAAAGCAATGAAGGTAAAGGTAAAGAATATGTCTTATGTTGCAAAAGGTGCATCATGAACAAAAATGTCATGTCTTTCATGTTTCAGTGTTTATCCTGGTTCATCACAGCTGATGCCTGATTTCCTGCTTCCACTCAGATGTTCTGCTGAATCAGATGTCTTCTGTCAGGAAAATAAATAAAACATTTAAAGTGTGTCTCATACTGAAAAAATAATGCAACCTTTTTTGGCATTTACTTAATCATAGTTACTTTAACACAATGATTTCATGTTCGCAGTGTAGGACATAAGACAATTGTGTTAAACTAAATATGACTAGGTAAATACCAAAAGCGATTGCGTTATTTTTTTCAGTGTGTAAAATGTCATTTGGAGTCTCATACCTCAGCTGAAACTATAACTGAAAATCCACAATAGTTTCTCCAACTATTGCATGGAACAACAAAGGAGTTAATTAGAGAAGCAGCTTCTCTTAATGGCAACTCTGGAGGAGCTCCTGAGATCCTCAGCAGGGGCAGAGCTAGATGGGGCCATGGCCACCCTTAGCCACCCAGTACTGTTCAAAACATAAAAAATTTTCATATATTAACAGGTACTTGACAACAATCAAATCAAACAATCTTTATTGTCACCTACAATTTACATTGCAATCGAAATTTCAGTTTCAGTACAAACCGTTCATCACAATATATTTCATACATTGGGGTGGGGGGACAGAGAGGGGGAGAGGAACTACTGAGACCACGCATGCAGCAGAACGCTGCTAGTAGCGCATTCTTATGGCTTGGCAGGTTCCCACCAGTTACGGTTTTATTTATATATATATATATATATATATATATATTTATGTATATATATATATATATATATTTATATATATATAAATATATATATATATATATATATATATATATAAATATATATATATATATATATATATATATATATATATATATATATATAGAGAGAGTGAGAGAGAGAGAGAGAGAGAGAGAGGAAATGCAAGTAATCTAGGAATATTTGCTTAAATCATAAATATTTTAGTAAAAACTTATTAAATAATCAATTTATGACTTAATTGATTTCAGTGAGGAGATTTGCTTTATGTAGATATTAGTAGTTGTAAATATCAATTTCATGCAGAATGATTATTGATAAAAGTAGGTAAGTAATGACAATGGAAAAGATGTTCGCCCCAGAACTTAACCCTGAAGGAATTTCATCCACTATTCCTTTTATCTAGGAAGAATGAATATTTAAATATATGCATCTATGTGTTAACAAAGGCTTTCGGAAAGTATAGTTAGTCTTTATTTACAAAATATGGATGTTTTGCTTGTTAATTTTTCTGATGGAACAGTATAGATTGACCCTGAGGTTCTGGTGCCTATCCACTTTTGGCCTATGGTTGTTATTACCTGACCACCCTTATAAAAAAAAATTCTGGCTATGCCTGTGATCCTCAGATCAGTTCTGGAGACTTTGTTCACAAAACCAATCCTGTTTGTGTTCTCTCCAAAGCTGGGCTTTTATTGAACAGAAAGGAGAGAGGAACTGCAAACAGAAGAAGACCTGCTATAGTCAAGAGATGTTATGTTCGATAGAAAGCTTTACATGATATGCAGCAGTGGAATCTGACCTTTCGTTACTCTAGACATGTGCCAGAATGGCCTAGTCAAAGTCCACACTCTGCATACAGAATCTCTTTATACAGTCTGATTAAGGTTGAGCTATTTTATAAAAGGGGTAGGTGACTGTAGAGTTCAGAGGTGCTGAGACAGAGTAAAAGTGTGAACCAACCACAGGTAACCTGGATGGAAGTGATTCATTAGTTTAGTAAATCTCAGATTCTGCAGCAGTAAATGGGATTAAACCGATGATCCAAATTCCTCTCCGCTGTCTCGCTCCCTCACGTTTAATCCCCACAGGAGCGGAGTCCCCATCATGTGAGATTATGATATCTGTGAGAGGGAGAGCGAAGGGGGAGGTAGTGGAGGACAGAGGTGGACGTCCTCCTGGAGAGAGGAGGGAGAGGAGCGCAAGAAGTGGCTGCAAAACAGCGCGCAGCAAAACTCCCACCGCCTCTCTGTGCTCCGTCATGCGCCCCGGCTTTTAAAAGACTCCCGGCTGCTGCTGGGGGGGCAGCAGATCTGTTGATGAGGCTCTGAAAGTCAGAGTTGTGTGTGAGATCGAGCAGTGAGAGCAGAGAGCAAGCGGAGAGGGGAGGAGAAGGATACTTTTCCAGGTTACCGGATCGCGCTACATTCCAGCCTCGGAGCGCTGCGCTCAGGAGCGGAACCCGGCGTGCTGCGTCTCTCCCGCTCCCATCGGATCTCTGCTGTTTGGAAAGCAATGATGCACAGAGGAGATCACATTTATTCCAATTAGAAACAATAAAGAACAGAGGGTGTCTGCTCCTGAGTGGATCTGGATTTATCGACCATGAGTGCTGGATGGTGGATGTTTGCCGGCGCTCTGGCGGGGGTCATCGCTGTCCCCACAGGGGCACACGGTAGGTCTTTTTTCTTTTTAAAGCCTGACCAGTTGTCCGGTGTGCTATGTAGGTCAGGAGTTGTGGAGAGCAACAATGCGCCTCTACAGCAGAGGAGCCTGGAGTAGATCTGATTGTTGGCGATTTTTCTGCACACTGCGCTGAGATGAGACTGTGGTGGGGAAAGGAAAGTTGTGACCAGAAAGATAACTTCACATTTCTCTCTGGAACAAGTGCTTTTGTGTTGCAAATTTTTTGTCAGAGGCTTCAACATCGCACCGTAATAACGCAAAAGTCCAAAATCACAAAACCCTTTCAAAGAAGGTGATTACAAACACCAAATCAAAACCAAACTGAAGTCATTATTTTGAACCAAAAGTAAATCATTCAAATGTTGGCAGTTAATTAAGTTAGGTTAATATAAGGATTTATTATATTCTATTTCATTCTATTCTATTCATAATCCAGATAGAAATCTCCTACCAGGGTTTATATCTGAGTGTAGAGATCAGACCTGAACCTGCAAAGATTCATAAAGACAATAAAAAAAAAAATCTGCCTTTTTCTCACTTTAAGAAAATCAAAATGATAAGAGACTAATGTCCCAGCATAGAAAAATAATTAATGCATTCATCTTTAGTAGAAGTGATCACTGCAGTGATATTTTCACAGGTCTGCCTAAAAAGCTGAACAGACAGCTGCAGCTGCTTCAGAATGCTGCTACCTGCATCCTCACCTAAACTAAGAATAATTAGAGCACATCAGTCGATACTTCTAAATTCCTTCCTCTGGTGCACAGACTCTCAGAAAATAAATGCTTCTGTTGGTCTATAAACCGCTGAATGGCTTAGCTCCAAAACACATTACTGAATTGTTGTCAGTGTATCCTACTGTATCTACCCTCAAGATCTTTAAGGTCTACTGGCTCTGATCTATTCTGCACACCCCGAACCAAACACAGAGAAGCAGCTTTTAGTTCTTGTGCTCTGATAATCTGCAACACACTACCAGAAAACTGTAAAAGTGTTGAAATTAATTTAAATTGAGATTAAAATGTTTGTGTTTAGAGTGGCCTTTGCTTTGCTATGTTTTTAGTCAAATAATTTCTTATGCAATCATCTCATTTTATGGATTTATTGTTTTCTCTTTCACTATTTGAGTTGCTTTTTCACACTGCAATTTTCTTTTTCTCTCCCTCATTCTCACCACTTTGAATTATTCTACTACTGAAATGTGCCATATAAATAAACTTTCCTTGCCCTATATTTCATTCTCAACAAAAACCAGTTGAATTTATTCCAATTCAAAACTAATCTGAAATACAGTGCGGTATGCCAACACATAAAAAATGAACAAAAATAAGCTCAGCCAACAAAGAATGTTGGTGTTAATAAATGGCGGTTTGCATTAACTGACTTACTTTGTAAAAATCACCACATTTGAACAAGCATCAGGCGACAGTGGACATGGATTATGTTGATTAGTAACTTTTCAGCAATCCCTTCTCCCTAAAAACCTCATGGGGAAATTGGATGATAGACTGGAGTAATTGTGTAGCTTTGTAGCAATCCCTCCACCTGGCATGTGATGACTGGATGATTTTATTGCATCTAGCCACAAACTTTTTAGCAAACCTACTCCACATCAGTATAGTTAAAATTAGATCTGATAGAGTAATTATTTAATTTTTGTGGTGACATTGGAAGAAAAAAAAACTTCCTTCAGACTGTAAACACCTTCAGGCTCATTGGAGGCATCTGTCTGCCATGACACTGAGACAGTAGATGCTAATAAAACACAGTGGAGCAGAAGTGCTCTCTGTTTAAAATAATATCTAGAGCATTAATGGCATTAATTAGCCCATATCACCGACACAAGCCTTGGGTGCATTTCTACAAAAAATCTACAAAAAAAAACAAAAAAACACTGATTATATGAAGACTTCACATATCTTGATCTGCATTTCTGCAAAACTTCAAAGTCAGTTGAGGAATTCAAAGAGGGCCTTGACTGACTTAGGATCAGCCTCCACTGCGTGTTTGCTTTATTAACTGCTTCTGTTACCACATGAATCAGACTATATAGAAATGTGATAGGAAATGCAGCTTCTTGTCTGAGTTTTGCATTTTTGACCCTCCAGATCCAAATAATGTAGAAACATTCACTGTTGCCTTCATATGGCTGCAACACATAAAGAAACAAAAGCTTTCTGTTCAAATACAGGATCCTCTCGCCTCATCTCAGAGCATTTTATAGAGTCCACAGTAGATCTGTGCTACTGCTTCCTTTCTCTTTCCTTCCTTAAACCTTTTAAATACTGCTCACCTGCAATAAAGAAACGATTTAGGCTGAAAACTTTCTCTGCTCATAGACTCTGTCTCCCAAAGTCATTAACCGCCTCTCCTCATCTCGGCACACATCCAATGTGCTTGGCAGCTGCTGCTGCTTCAATAACATTCAAACTTTCATGCTCCTCTGGCTTCCGTTCCTCTGAAAAGAAAGCACGCCGGCTATAAATGTTGGAGTGTTATTGACGATGTGTGCTGCAGGTGGATTTTACAGGATGATGAACGAAAGTTTGTAGTCAAAGATGTAAATTGTGCCTTTTCAGCTCAGGTTCTATTGTATTCTGCAGGCTCATTTTCCAAAGGTCATAGCTCACCTATGTGATTATTTCAGTAAGTAATCCTGCAGGGGTCCTATTTAAATAATCCTCAAAGTGTCTTAGAAGTTTGGCTGCACTTGCTTCTGACGGAGCACTGATTTTAAAGATCCAAGAAGTTGGAAACTTTTATTTTAAAACTGTGGAAACATCTAAAGGAAAGATTGCCAGAAGTGTTGGCAGGAACAAAAAGGCAGTGTTGGTGTAACATTTATGTTCCTATGTTATACTGAATAAAGTCACAGTATTTTATTGAACTCATTTCAAATGCTTTTACAGGCAGATCCATCATTTTATAAAAGAAGAATGTGTCCAAAGGATATTTGATCTAGACGGCTTTTCACTTGGGTCCAGATTGGGGAATCTGAGGCGTGGTGCTCCAACTGCTTGTGCTGAGAAATGCACAGAACTTCATTAGAATCTTTCTGATTTGTTAGAAGAATAACTCACATATTTTCTTGAAGAAAGGAGGCTTCATTGCTGCTATTATTTTGTCTGAGTGTTTAGAAACTCTGCAGCTGTGGCAACATAAACCCATATCACCCTCATAGAGCTTTCCAGGCCTCTCACCTTTACGTTTTTGTTGATCCAGAAAACTGACTCTAAATTTCATCCAAGGTTTTTTTTCTCCATTTGTTTTGATGGAAACTAATGGAGGCTCTTCTTAGGGCTGAAACGTTTTATCGGATTTAATCATGGTTAATCAATTATTGAAATAATCATCAATTAATTTATTCATTAAATTGATTTTTCATCTGTCAATATGCCCTATCCTGAACCCCTTAAGTGGAAACCCCCTTAGTTTCCCCTGGATTCATTTCATAAAAAAAATCTTCTTTAAGGAACCTTTTGGTGTCAAATTATTAATCAAAAAAATAATTGAGAGGTTAATCGATCAGCAAAATAAATGTTAGTTGCAGCTCATCCCTTTTCCCCCTTATTGGTAACCATTAGCAAAACAAGGGGACAGTAGAAACGTAAACATGGACATAATGTGTCATTATAAATGTGCCAATTGGAAGGTTGTGATCGGATTTGGCTGAGTAACGCATATAATGTATTTGGACTGAGAGGGGTGGTTTATACTGATCTTCAGTGAAAACTGCATCCATTTAAAGACGGGTTCTGATCGTGTCCCTTAGATTTTACCAAACTGATCTGACTGCACAGTGTGTGAAGTTTTTAATGGGCAGCAGCGCCAGGCAGCACAAAACCTTTGGGGATGTCATCTTCCTGTTTCATCCTTTAAACAGCATCAGCATCCACATGTGAATCTGAGTCTGTAGCTTAGCTAAACTTTAGCCTCACCTTGAAAAGGGCCCAGTCTGGGTTCTCAGATCACTCAGAAACAACACACTTCCTCGTTTTTTTTTTTTTTTACAGTTCATCAAGAAGGACAACTTTTACTGTCAAGGTGTTTATGTTCTGAATCAGGCATGGAGCATGTAAACACTGGTCAGGATGAGTTTTCTGAGTCTGCATTCATATAAACAATGATTTCATTTTCAATCTGAACATATTTGAATAAGATCAAGGAATTTTGCACATGTAAGCGTAGCTAATGACCAGCATATTATACCAATAATTTAAACCAATTAGTCAGTTTAAGTAGATTAAGAGATTACAGCTGGACTCTTTTGTAGCCTCAGTTGTTTTGATGAGACATCTATTCTGAGCTAAAGTGGGATTCACTGACAACTTCTTGCTTAAAAATTAGAGAAGAGACCGTTTATAAGAAAGCTAAGAAAAATCTTAGTATGTTGACTAACGTTCATCACTTAAATCAGTTGTTTATTGAGACTGAGATCAACTTGTTCAGACCTTTCTATGCCACATCCCAGGAAAACTTCTAAGAAAAATGTACTTGTACTTGCTTGAAGCTCAAACTTTATCGACATGATATAAGAAGAATTTATATGAACATAATCCAGGGAGAAGATTTAACTTAAGACTGTCAATGATATGCTTTTCAATTTGTGTCAGAAATACCTTTCCCCAGTGCTTAGTTGGGCAGGAGATAAAAACAAGAGACCTCTATGAAACTACAAATGAGGTGTTAAATGTGTTTTTTTTTTTTGCCTTACAATGCCTACATATAATTTGTTAATTAATGCCTTGCAGATAGTGTTTTTCATTATTGGCCGTCATGTAATGCAAACATCATTTAAATGTTTGGCTAGAACAACTTAAATTGCCTGATTATGTGTTGTTGAGCTTGCTTTCTGCAATACGGACACAAAAAGAAGAAGTTAGGTGAAGAGAGCTGTTTCACATTTCAGCTCAGACTCCAAGCTGTAACAACGCGTAGCTCAAACTATATATCTGTCTGGTTTCTATTATCTCAACATTTGGTTCTTAAATTGAGCATCAGCACCCACCGTGCTATTGTAGTTAAGGGCTTCATGCTTTTTTCTTTCTTTTAAAGAGGGCTTAATAATCACTGTTCATGTTGCGCTAAATGTAAGCCAGCGTAAATCCTCTAACTACAGGGAAAGGAATAGCAGGTGTTCAATCAAAAAAGTTTCTACAAAAATCTAGACGGATACCATTGCATTCCCCTCAATGATATTATTACCTCATGCAAAGTCCAGCGAACACTTTTTCTGCGCTAATGAAGATTAAATAATCTTCAAGTTAGATTTTTAAAGGGATCATAGAATGCAAAACCGAGGTTACATTGTCATAGATGAATAGTTCAGTGGGTGAAATGGACGTACAGAGAAGTTCAAACCCCATCCACACCTCCATCCTCTGCAAATCTCACAATTCTAAACTTCCACCACAAAACAGGTGAATCCAAACGAAGCACCGAGTTGATGTCAATTTGGGGATGTTGCCTTATTTGGTTCTGGCCTGTACTTTTGTCATGCCCCGAAATTGACATACAGACCAGCCCACTGGTTCACTGGACCAAGAACATGAATATAGCTAGATGTAGGACACCAGTTCAGCTGTTCAGCCTACAGTTGGGTTTACTTCTACAAGAATTACAAAGCAGGCAGTTTCTCTATTGAAAATGAGCCAGAACCACGGGTGCAAATGCAGTCACCAGGTGGGGTTCGGTAGCTCTGTCCCCTGCTGGCTCACTCCCCCCGTTGGCCGGAGTTCCCGGACTAGCCCCAGAGCTCACAGCTCAGCTCTGCTACACTGTAGTCGACCGAAATCCCGGACGATTATCAAATTCCCCCTGGGCATTTTTTTAGGTATGAAAAGTAGGACATGTCCGGGAAAAAGAGGACATCTGGTCACCCACCATATCAACAATTCTATGTTTCAGTGAGTGAGTGCTTGTTGCTATGATGCGTCTTTGCTCAGCAGCTTTGCTTGTTGTAAACCAACCAATCAGAGCACAGCTCATCTAAATATTCATGAGCATGCCATAAAAGGAAGAAAACTTTTCGTTTCATTCTGGGGCTTTAAACCAGGCTTGCATTAGGACTCATAGAACAGTAAATATGCCACTTTTAGCCCGACCAATGTTACACACCCGATTCAATACTTAAGGACCAGCACCAAATACCCTATAGAATCATTCTATGACCCCTTTAAAAGTTAATTTACAACTGACAGCATGACTTTTTTTTTTACATTTATAAGGAATATAAATCAGATTTTTATATCACCAGATGATCTTTAATTATGAAATAAATTAATTACTGTAATGCCGTTTCTAAAGTAAAACCCCCCTTCCTGACTTGGTGTACCCCACACCTTTAATCCCAGTATAAACAAACATGACACATTTAATGCACCAGGACTGATTTTTATTTTATTTTATTGTGCTTACGAGCATGTAAAATAAATCTCCCAATATGCACGCACACACACTTCATAGAAAAGGTGAGGTTAGGGCTTCTTCAGTTGAACATTTTCAAAACGGTGCACTAATGGCTGTCTTCTCAGGTCTAAATCACAGTAAAATGATAACGTAAAGTGACACTTTATCAAGGTTACAGTGACAACCAAAATTCCTTTATCTCTCCAGGATGACGGCTCTCCTTGTAGTCCGGATTTAGTTTCTTCTTAATCCTGAATAAGACTCCATTAAAACACATCTTAAGGTGACATTCTCAGACTTATAACCTCACATGAAACCCATATGTGCTCAATATCGTGTCTGGAAAATATTTCACATTTTTCATGAACTAGATTTCAGCATCTTTTTATCCATCTTCTGTTCTTCTTTGTGTTGCTAAGATGTATCGATCACTTTTATATCTTGACAGCTCTCAACAACCCACAACGGGATAATAAAAACCCAATCTAACAGACTAAAACGAATTGATTGCTCCCTTGTGTGTGTTTGATTTAAACATCTGAAGCAATTTTGGCTACATTCAGACCCAATCAAACTCTAACTACATCTCCTTCCTCTCTTTCTATCCTAGGAGCTTGTCTCTACGAGGGATCGCTCTATGCGGTAGGTGCTTCAGCCTTCTCTGTTGCTGTTTAACCCCTGGTTGAAGCTTCCACCTCATCTGCAAGCAAGTTTCGGTTCATCTGTAAACTCTAATGGTGGAAGTGCTCATGCATTATTTACGTGGGACTTTGCCTGGCTAGTGAGACTGACAGATGAAGCTGTTGAGTGTCTGTATGCAGAGATAGGTGATAAAAGGAGTACATATTATATCAGTGGGGATTGGTGTGCATCCTTTGTAAGAAATATAGCTGAGGAGCAGCGTCTCATCTATAATGCAAGCCGGATACTGACTTTGTGGATGATAATGGTGATGATGCGGCTTTGCGTCAGTCTCCCGCTGATCTGCTTGCAGAACGTTAAGCTCCTCTCAAAAAGAGAGAGAACTTGGAGGTTTTTTTTTTCACCTCAGCTGGGTATTGGTGAAAAGAGCTGTGTTTTTTTATTTTTTTTTATTTTATATGCTTTTAGGTATGCTGCTGGTTACTCATATCTTGGCGGATGAAAGAAGTCATGTTTGGCTTGAAGCATCAGATATGGGAAGAGTCCTTGTTCCTGTGCAGGAGAAGCTGATGTTTGCACTCAGATGCCATTTATGCCTTTTTTTTAATTTTTTTTTATTTCAGACCAGCTCAGTGAGTCAACTTTCACTGAATTCATTATGTTTTCCCCTTTGTGATGTATCATATTCATAAAATCTAAGGTTTTTTTATATTGAAGAGAGATAAATGGAGTGCAAACCATAATTAAAAACATTTGCTTCTTTCACTTTTCCTTTTAAAGCAGACTGTCATTCATCTAGAGTTAACAGGCCAATACTGCATGCATAGCAAAATAATAAAAGTGCCTCTAGAGCACATCATGTGATTTTACTTTTTAAACATATGCTCAGATGCTTGAACTAAAACCTCTTTTTTGTTCAATTAAATAATGATTCCCTATCATCGCCCAGAGTGACCCAAATTATGCAGATAGCCTTCAGCTTGACACCTGACGTGGTTGCGTAGATGGTCACCGCTTATATCAAGCTCAGTTTGTACTACGGTGTACATTTCAGGGCATCCTCAGTTCTCAGGAAAAAAAGTTGTCAGTTCTCAGGTATTAGGAAAACTGTCAGACAGCAATATGTCCTTTGAAACTCAGCAACATGCAAACATGCTGAAAAAGGCACCACCACTATCGTTACATTCACAGGAATCCATATTTTTGCTCCTATGCGACCAATATCTGACTCCTTCATGCCGGTCTAAACCGTCTTTTCACCTTTTCCCCAAGTGTCAGCAGTCTGAACAGTCATCAGAACAGTCATCTGATGATTTGGTCAAACTATTATCATCTGCCATTGCTGAACAGTTTAAAAACACCATCTGCTAGATCTATTTAAAAAGATATTTTTTAATAAAAAAAAATTAATTGAACATTTCTAGTAACAGTCGTATTATTACTGGTGTAAAAAGTTCACAGCTGTGGAATTCCTACTTTCCTCTTTCGTTCACTTTGTTCTAAACCGTTCAGATCTCATTGCTGTCATATTTAATTAGTAGTATGAACAACCAAGCAAAGAATAATAATAAAAAAAAAACTGAAGGATTTTATTTGATTAGAAAATGGTAATGTCATGATTTTTTCTAAGGCTCGGACCAACATGCAGTGAAACCAAACAGAGAGACATGGATGAAAAGTTTGACGGCTTTTATTGAAGATGATAAACTCGGTGCAGAGTTTCCCTGAACTCTGCTCAGCCGGAACTGGAAGGGGAGGGGAAAACAGACTGTTAGTTCAGGCTCAGTGGGAAATTTGATTTGTTGATCTTGAAGGAGAGGATCTTATTGTTGACTCACGTTTCCAGAGAAGTGAAGGATCCTTGACTCCAATCTGTGTGTTGGTTTTCCAGTGTTTGTCTGACTTGGTGGAGGGCGGAACAGGGTTTACCCAGAACTCGGACGGTGTAGGTGAACGGAGATGCTGATTGCCACTCAGATTTCCTGCTGTACTTGAACGGGACGTGGTGAAGATGATTCCCTTGCTCAGAGAGTAATTTCAACGTCCTCAAAGGAGACTGGATCCAAACCTCCTGTTTGAATCCCTGGCTCAGTTTAGACTCAGTTGATCCCTCCTGGGAGAGGAGGTCCGAAAAGGTCCGGTTTGCAGGATGACTTCCTGCCGAGAGGCAAAGACAAAAACAAAGTTAAAACTCAGGTAGACAAGAACTCAGTCTTACTCAGCAAAACTCGGCTTGGCTAGAGTACCCAAAACTGGCAAACACTCTGGCGTCGAGGTAGCGGCAATCAGCAGCTGAAGAACACTCTGTTAATGAGGTAACCGTCAGCAGGTGTGTGAGGAGGCGAACCGGAACCAGGTGCCTCCTGTTGGTGGAAGGGGGACAAACACAAAAAAACAAACACACAGACAGGAGCCCTGACAGGTAATCCATGTTGTACTGCCCATGTTCCAGAGGTCCCCCATTGAGGTGAACTTTTTTTTTTGTGTCTATGTACACAAAAATGGAAACCAGGATGTTTTCATATACAACAAGTTTTAAAACTTTGCCATTTTTTGTGGGAAAAAGGTTGCCATCTGATATAAACAGTAGAAAGACTACCAAACCTTTACAGTTTTCCTAAAATATGTAATGAAAACAGGGCCTGGTGGTGTTGGACCCGGAGATTCCCATCATGTGCAGCTAAAAAATGTCACTATGTACTTTTAGGGAGAAGCGCTAAATTGTTTTGCAGGAATAAACCCAATAATCTGTTGTATTCCTCAATAAAAAAAATGGTCTGCAATTGTCCAGTATGTTGTAATTACTTTCAGCATGTTGGCATAAAAATGTTCTTTAAGACTTTAACAGCTTTATCTACTGCAGAAATCTAACATATTATTTTGCTAAAATACTGTTCAGGATGGAGAGGCTAAAATATATAGTCTGTCAGGCTTTTAAAGACTGCTGTCATGTAAATGATGTAGACGTATAATTTTCAGACTTGCCAACCTTTCCCATTGAGCAATGGTGCCGACTCAGAGTTTTGGCTTTTGTCCCAAACCCTGAAAGCTTTAAAATACAGGGATCATAAAAATTAAGTCAGAATCATCCTATGTAACAGGATAGATGTATGCTCCATGTCTTAAAGCCAGTTAAATGATTAATCTGAAGTGAATAATGATGAGTGCCTTGTGATCTGATGGTTTAGGATGTACTGAATAATATCTGGATCCTATATCAGATGTGGGAAAGCTGCCCAGGGTTGGGTCACACCACCTTAAAAAGGCAGTGGCGACCTGGTTTGAACATGTCAGACAAGATAAGCCTTCTGAGGTGATTCCGATCTGCAAGTGGTCGATACTCGTTTAGATTCAAGAACCATTAAACCAGCATCAGGGAGTTTGGACAGACTGGCAGAATGTGAAGTGTGTTTTTTTTTAGCAGCTTTGCTCATGTTTTAGTTCAACAATCTTTAAGCATTTCTCTGCCTGGAATTTACTCTAAGGATCCGAGGAATGATTAGCTAGGCTTCAACAGAAAGTATTTGCTGTAAAAATGCTGTGAAAAAAAAATGGGAGAAAAGTGAGCAGTTAAGACATTCAACATCAGGCTGCACTTTAAAGCTTGAGGAGATTTCTGTCTCCTTTTCATAAGTCAAATCCAACTGAAAAGGAATGAAATCTCCTGCCTTCTGCTTTAGAAAACCACTACCTGTGTCAGGCAACAACTGGTAATCTCTCTTAAAACACCTTAAAGACAGTTCTCTGCACTGCAGTTGTGGTTCCCAGGCTGAATAATAAGGAACTCCAGCTTGTTCTCCTGCTCTGTTTTCAGGATAATTACAGTAAAGCTCAGGACATACCTGCAATCATGTTAACGCACAAGAACACATCCTGCTTCCCTTTCCCCTGGCTTTTCAGGAGCGGATAATTTCTGAGAATGTAAAGGTAGTAGTTGTTCGACCAGCGAGGATCGGCTATAAAGAGAAGGGAAAGGGGGAGTAGGTTGAAGAAAAAGAGGAGGGGGAGGTGGGGGGTTGTGGCTAAAAAGGAGAAGGAAGGAAAACAGGTGGGATGTTTGAGCACGTCTAAACATCGTCATTGGAAAAAAGGTCTTACTTGAAGTTCAAAGTGAAGAAGCCCCACACCTGCACTGATGGGAAGAAATGAACAAAGAAAAGAAAATTTGTTGATCGTAGTTCATGTTTCTGCCTTCAGGCGTCCCTGCATTGTAACTTTTAATTGTTTTTCCAAAATCAGAATTCCTTATTTAATTAAATGTTGGGATTAAGCTTGATTGATGATGATGATGGCACACTTTATATTATTGTATAAACAAACTGCGATCGCTTTCCAGTTCTGCTGGTGGCGTTGCAAGGATAAAAGAAACCAAACTTTAATCAGTTTTCTCACTTGGGAGAAGATCATAAATCCAAATTTTTCTGCTGTAAGAATAATTTCCCCCCAGTTTGTCTTTAAGTTCCCTCATTTGTCAAAAGAATAAAAAGCTTTATTTTTTTCCTTATTTTGTTTTTCAGTTCTTTATCAAACTCAGTATACACCTTCAGGTTTGGTTAGTTTTTTTTGCTCCATGTGTTTCTGTTTTTTTGCTGCTTGTCTTTTCCACTGTGACCTCTGTCAGTCACTCTTTCTTGCTATTGTTTGATTCCACCAGTCTCGGTCCAGTCAGCCTAACATGTCATTACTTGACTGTCTTAAGGTTTTCCTGTTTTTTTTGCTCAAGGCTAAATCTGACAGATTTACTCACATCTATTTGTTTTTGGCCTTTTAACCATTACAATTACAGTCACTAAGAGATCACTGAATTTCCTTTGCACATAGCTTAACTCATTTTCAAGAAAACCTTTTATTGTTCTGTCTCTACAGCACCTAACACCTTAAATTAATTGTGACCGCACCTAATCAAAGTGTCCTACTTGATATTCATTTTTAGGGCCAATGCCGGTGCATACTCTTATTGGTCTTGTTAGGCAGCTACTTTGGATGACCACTGTTGATGACTGTTTTTAGTGGCTAATTCTACCACCCACTGCTGGCAGCCTGTGTTGCCATCTATTGTTTGCAGCCATCAATTCTGTTAACTGTTGGTGGTCTTTGTTAGCGACCATGTTACTTAGAGCCCATTGAGCGTAGCCACTTTAGGCTATTTCCGTTGCTCTCAACTATTGAGAGCCATTTTTAGTGACCACTCTTTGCACCCATCATCATTGACCTCTGTTTGCCTGTTGGTGCTAGTGGCACTTATTAGAGTAGCCTACTTGATGTTTTTTTTTTGGCAGAAAGTGTTAGTTCCTTCTCATTGAGGCAAAGTGGAAGAAGGTAGAGAAGGTCATCTTTTCATATTACTTTTAAGCAGTCAGTATTGGTGCCCACTTTTATTGGTTATTGCTAATTGCTCCATCCATCCATCCATCCATTTTCTAATACACTTAATCCCAAGTGGGGTCGCAAGGGTTGCTGTGCCTGTCTCCAGCAGTCAGTCGGCGAGAGGCGGGGTTCACCCTGGACAGGTCGCCAGTCCATTGCAGGGCAACACAGAGACTTACAGGGCAAATAACCATTCACGCACACACTCACACCTAAGGAGAATTTAGAGAAGCCAATTAGCCTAACAGTCATGCTTTTGTACTGTGGGAGGAAGCCGGAGTACCTGGAGAGAACCCACACATGCTCAGGGAGAACATGCAGAAAGACCCTGGACCGAGAATCGAACCCAGAACCTTCTTGCTACAAGGCAGCAGTGCTACCCACTGTCCACTGAGCAGCCTTGCTTCAAGTTTTTGAACATTTTTTTAAACTAATGTGTAACCTAACTGTTGGCAGCTGCTGTTAGTACCCACTGTTAAAGGTCAATGTTCGCAGAAGTTGTTGGTGCCACATATTGAAAGTAACCTACTCAATATTTATGGGCACACAGTGATGGCGCACACTATAATTAGCGATTATTGGCACCCACCGTTGGCTTCCACTGATGACAACCATTTCCTGTGGCCATTGTTAATGGTCACTGTTGGCAGCCATTGTTATTGACCGGCGTTGGTGCCAAATGTTTGTCCTCAAATTCTGCACCAAGGTGTTTAAAATATTATGGTTTCACAACAACATTTTCAATCATACATATGAACAGTTTAAAGTCAGTTTAGTGAATTGTGGACCCTTAAGAGTTTTTAGGTTGTTCTCTCTGTGATTATTAGTTTCCTTTGCTTGTAAACTATTATGAAATAAGCAGCTGCATCATGTTATATACTTTGTTATATATATCTTTGTGGTAATAAAATACTCTTTTGTTTAACTTGTGGTTATTGTACTGGAAGAATCTCATACTAGTTGGTAGATATTGGTAATGGCTATATCGTTTATGGTCGCTCAACATTTGTGCCTTTTGTAGAGTTTGTGCACAAATCAAACTGATAAGTATGATATTAAGGAGGCAGTGATTAACTTTATATGAAAATATAAATAGTGTTTTTTTCACTCATTCCCTGGCAAAGGATTTTAATGTTTTCCCCCCATTATTGTCCTCTTGGCCCGTTGGATGGGGCTAAGCGACACAAACATTTTACATCATTGTTATAGTCCTTTTATTAATAGCATCAGTATTGAATTATTTTTGTAAATTAATTTAGCATAAAAATCAATATAAGCAGTGCATAATTTTAAAATAATGGAGGAGAGAGCCTCTACCCTCACAACTCAGGGGCACTTAGAGATATATCAGTGTACTATGCAGACAATAATAACTGATAATGTGGTTAGGTGTTATTTAGTTAGGTTAATAAAACAACTGTGACAGATACAGATGTTTGGTGATTTACTTCTTGTCTTCGTCTTTGGTGGGGCAGTTCTGCTTTTCTCCACTACCCAAATCATTGGATAACACACTTGTTGCTTATGTTG